CAGCTGATTATCAGAATGTAGACAGGCCATGGAACTGGTTCCCTGGGAAGTTATATTTTCATACCATGCCCACTATGTCTCCATATTTCCCCATTCCCATTCTCTCACCCCTCTGAAGTAACTAGTGAGATGTGAGGGGCTTAGCTGGAATACGTACATTATCCTTAGTGATATTTTCTTCTTGGGGAGGTCTTTTTAATACTGGAGATTGAACCCATGGTCTTTCCACTGAGTGACATCCCCAGTCCATTTTTAAATTTTGAGACAGTCTCACTAAGTTGCCTAAGCTGGCCTCTGACTTGCAATCCCCTACCTCAGCCTCCCAGAGAGGTAGGATTACTCAGTTTAGCCTTAGATTTTTGAGGCAGAGATTTTTGTCTGCAGGAATACAGTTGCCTCCTAGTAGGAGAAACTGTCTTTAAGATCTTACCCAAAATCAGCTGTGTCTCCACTTCAATGCATCAGCCTGATGATTTCTCTTCTAATTTTTTCCTCTTTCCAAGTAAACATGTAGACCTGTGCGGATGAACCATATTTTAGTTCTAAGAAGTATAAGTGGAGAGAAGCTCCCACCAACTTCTGCACAATCTCTGAAGGATTCCAGATGTTGACATCTGAGCTGAAATTCATTGCCCAGACCCCTGTCATCTGCTGCTTGAGACCTTCCTCAAACCTGCCGCTCCATCACACCTCTTTCCCCAGGATGTGCCATCCCTTCTCTTCCAAACCCATAGAATGTGTGACCAAGATCATAGCCTTTATCCTCCCTTCTTACATCTCTCTCCATAAATCTTCCCTAACCCAGGCCCAGCGCCTGATGCGCACTCAGTACTAGTGAGCGAAGGCATTCTGTGCACCACTCTGCTCTCAACACTGTAGACAAACAGCCTTCATGGTGAAAATCGCTGCCATTCCTCAGACCAGTGTCCACATCAGGGCTGAGCTCTGCCACACTTAACAGAAAAGATCTTACAGGAATGTCTCCAAGCTTTGGAGTGTTTCATCCCCTCGATTTCATAGCATCATACATTCAGCTGGTGTCCCCATTCTCAGACCTTTTTGCTGTCATCTCTTTTTCCCCTCTCTTTTTCTCTCCTCTTTCCTCTGCTGTTTTCCCTCTAAACTTAGTCTTGAAAACCTCACCACACACAAAACTCTTAAATCTATATATTCATTCCTAATCTAGAAAACTTTCCAGCACATTCTCTTCTGAGACAATTTGTAGATACTTCACCTACATGTCAAAAACAAGTTCATTTTCCTTTTCCCACCCTGCCAGTTCACCCTCTGTGCTTTGTATTGGGGTTTTCATCCAGCACTAGGTGCTGTGCTGCCAGGGCCTCCTCTACAACCTCCCTTGGATTTGCCACCCCGACCTGTGCAGGGGTGCACATGCCTACCCTACAATGACTACCCTACAATAACCTGTAAAACAAGCAAAATAAAAGCTCTCAAAGATTGCTACATTATGGTTTAGATCTGAGGAGTCCCTAAAATTCTCATGTTTGGAAGGTGTTTGGATCACAGGGCACTATACTAATCCACGGAGTCATCCACTGAAGAATTAATAGCTGAATGTGCTGTGAGGATGAGAGACCTGGCTAGAGGTGGGTCCAGGAGCTTGACCAGCAAAAGGTGTATCTCCCTCCCCACTGCCTCCTTTCTCCTCCTGTGCCCCTCTGCCATGCCATTTCTTTCTTGGAGCTGGCCAATTATGGACCAACATGAATCTCTCCTTTAAATTGTGGGTGTTGGATATTATGTCTCAGCATCAAGAAATCAACCAAGAGATACTAAAAGCGTGCACCATCCCAAGTTCTTTCTGTATTGTCTTTGCTTCAGTCTTTATAAGTTGGTATCATTCTGGTATCTATTTTGCAACATAAAAAAAATGGCTTATTCTCTCTCAAGATTAAATAACTTCATCACACCATACTGTGGTGTTGTGACTTCACTCCTAACCTCAAATGCCAGAGAAAGGCACATTGTGTCCCTGAGGGTTCTCTAAGTCTGCTTTCTTTCCTTCTTTAATATACCCTGTGCCTTGGCAGTGCCAAGAGAATATTCCTATAACAAGGCACCATTTTGTCAATACCACAATCAAAAAGCAAGGACTTGCAGAGAAGGTACTGCACCTTGGCCTTGCAAGTACTAGGTTTGTCCGTCCACTCCAACTCCCTCCTGTAGCAGCTGGTCACCTTGATTTCAGTATCACCTATACCAGAGAAAAGTTACTCCTTCCACCAGCCCCAGCTCTCTAGATCCCTGGCCAGGCTCCCATTTCTCCTGTGAAAAGAATGGCTAACACTACAACTCCACAGTGGCCTCTGTTGGCTTTTAAATTGAGAGTCTTTCAAAACATTTTCACAACTTCCTCTATCTTATTAATCCTGTGGCCTACCATGTGCTAACACCAGCCAATGGACACAGTCTACTTTCTTCCAACTTACGAAATTGAGCTTCTATTTTTTTATTCATTTCTTCATGCTCTTCTCCTAGAAATGCCTTCAGAATGACCAATGTCTTTCCGAACTACACTAATTTTAAAGCCTCATCTCAAATACCATTTCTTCTGTAATTCCTTCTTTTATTATATCAATTCTCTCCTTTTTCAGAACTCTTGTTAAAAATATAATCTGCTCCACATCACCTCATTATCACTACAATTTTACTGTAACATACTGCTTTAGATTTACACAAGTAGGAGGGCATGGGTCTTAGTATATTTGTGCTGTTGCAACAGAGTAACCTGAGGTTGAAGAGCCTCTAGAGATTAATTCATATAGTTCTGGGGGCTGGGAAGTCCAAGGCCAAAATCAGGTCACATGTTTGCTATGTCATCTCATAATGGAAAGCAGAAGGATGAGTGGGTGAGAATAAGAAAGAGAGGGAAAGGAAGGCAGCCTCACTCATCCTTTCATCAAGAGCTCACTCCCACGGTCAGTACCCTACTCCAGTGACAACAGTCAACCCACTCTTGAAGGCAGACACTCACGACCCAGTCACCTCTTATAAGTGCTACCTCTTAAAACTATCACAAGGGCCAGCCAGGTAGCTCAGCAGACTAAAGCACCTGCTTAGGCAGGCATGGCAGCCAAGGTTTGATCCCTGGTGTGCCGTGCTGGCTCTGCCCCAAGGGTGCACTGAGACAGCAATGGAGCTTGAGCGTGGTGGTGTGAGCCTGTAATCCCAGCACTTGGGAGGCTGAAAAACAGGAGAATCACTATGAGTCTGATCTGTGTAGTGAGACCCTGTACTAAATACATTTAAAAAAAAAACTCACTATTGCAATGAGGGTTAAGTTTCTCTTACAAAAACTTTAGGGGAAACATTCAAGCCACAGCAGTACGCTAAAGTGGTACTTGCCAGAACAAGAGAAAGCCCTCCCCAAAATCAAATTTGTCTTACTCTTAAAAGCCCAGGGCTGGGGAGATAGCTCAGTGGCCTAAGTGCCTGCTTGGCAAGTGCAAAGACCCTGGTTCAACCCCTGGAACAACATGCTGTGCCAGCCACGAAAACCGGGTTGGTGGCACATGCCTATAATCTTAGCGCTGTGGAAGCTGAGACAGGAGGATCACTAAAAGTCTGCACTGCATAGCAAGACCCTGTATCAAATTAAAAAAAAAAAAAAAAAGTCCAGCCTGCAACTTCTTTAAATGACATTATTCATTTTGAAAATAATATATAGCAATCCCCGATCCTGCATATGCTGAGCCAGTGACCAAGTCCAGTGCGGTGGTGCATGCCTGAAATCCTAGTGCCAGGGAGGCTGAAAACAGGAGAATCACTACACATCCAAGCTGCATAGTGAGATCCTGTACCAAATACATAAAATGAAAAGAAAAAAAATATGCAGGCTTTGATCCCCATCTGCCACCACTTAGTAGTAAGTATTAGGTGTGACTCATCTGTGTCAGCCTTACCTCCTTAACAAAACCACAGATTTCTAGAGAGCAGGGGCCATATCTGCTATTTGCCTCCCTTGTGGCACTAATCATCTAATAGGCAAATATCAACTACTCAGTAAATGCTCCTTTTATTAACTCATGGATAATTTTCAGTGCAGGAGCTCTGTGATCAAATATTGAGTCTTCCAATGCATTTATCAGAGAACAAAGACAAATGATTTTAAGACCAGGAAATCATTTCCCTTACTTTGTTTGTATAAAATAAACAAATGGACTGGGCGTGGTGGCATGCAACTGTAAGCCCAGCTCTTGGGAGGCTGTAAGCAGGCGGATCACTATTAGTCCGATCTAGTAGTGAGACCCTAAACACCCTGTAGACCATTTCCTAAAATACAAAAAAAATAGAATAAATAAATAAATAAAAATAAAAATAAAAATAAAAATAAACAAAGATGTTTTCACATCTTTCAAATACACTACTGAAACCTTCTGTGCTGGTGGCACATTTTGAACACTAGAATTTCAGAAACACACTTGAAAGAATTAAAAATCTCAAACAATACAAACAGGTCACTGATAGCTGGGATGCAGGTACTTTTACATTCTAAGGACCATTGCAAATTTGGAAAAAGTTTCTGAATTTTGTAGTATTGTTTGGTCACTCTTCAGTTTGGTGAGGCTATATAATCAAAACTATTTGCTTTTCTTACCTCACTTTATTGTCATAAATTAAAATTCCAAATTGTTGTGGTAAACACTTCAGCACTGATTATGCTAATGCTAAGCCTTTTATTTCTCGCCCCAAGTTGAGATCCGTTCACCACCACAAAGCTCAGGGCTAAGAGCACATAGCTGAGCTCCACCTGACAGACATTGCTGTGGCTGTAGCAAAAATCAAGTTAACACAGCCAGCCAATTTGGAGGTATCGCCACAAATATTTATATATGTGAGGGCTCAAATTTGGAGTGCGACTGTAATATGGGTTCAAAAGCATTGAACAAAAAGGGTATACTCAAGTACAGAAAATAAGACTTGAATAATTTATCATCTTTGAAGAGCTAATGTCAACTAAATATTTTTCCATCCTACAGTGACCAAAAATGAAGAAGTTAAAATAATTATGGTGAAACACTACAGAATGGGTTTAGATGAAAAATATGAAGTAACAAAAAAGTGGTCTTTGAACGATCTGCAGATGATCGATGGAAAAGAGGCAGATACTGTAAGTGGTACATTTTTACATGGGGATATTAGATCAATATACTGGTACTCTTCATGTTCAATGTCCTATTTCATATATTTTTGATGTGTACTAAGTGTTAAGATAACATTATATTATTCTTAAGCAGTACAGATTAATTTGGGGGGATGACCTACTGGCTTTTTTTGTCCTTTTATGAGTTTAATTTTGAATTTTGCCATTAAATCTGAAAGTATCTTTCTCAAGTTTTATTAACAGGTTAGGCACAACCTACCAGGCAATTCTGAAACTTTAAATGCCATTTTTCTAAACATATGAGCCTCCTACCATCACTCTTTCCATCCCAATCTCTTCTGTGAATTTTACAGATTCCTTTCTTCCATCAGCAGCCCAACTTGTCTGCCAGAGGGATCATATTGCTTGAAATTACTTCAACCTTACAGCTGAAAGGGGGAGAAGAGCAAGATATCCAGTCTTTCTCTCTTTACCACTTAAAATGTAACTTTCCCCACTCTGCCTTTGAATTCATCTGTTGATGAACTCATTACTTCTAGCCCTTGAGCTTTTTATGACCACGCTGCTTAATTAAGTACTAACTCTTAAGGCTTAGGATGCCCAGTCACCCCAATGTTCTATCCCATTCTCAGATTTCCCATTGGGAAAAGTCTTGCATATGACTCCAAACCCCTATACCCCCATTCATTATGGATGTAAATAATTGAAGCCATAATCAAAACTGTAGTTGTTGGCTTACCTTATCTTACCTTATCACACTTCTGGATGGAAGATCCTTAGACAGTGGGACCGTAATTTTTTTTTTTGGGGGGGGGGGTTTAACCAGGGATTGAACTCAGGCCCTGTGCTTGCCAGGCAAGTGCTTATTCTACTGAGCTATCTCCCTATTGCATTTATTTATAATCCTATAAGTCTCATATTAATAGTTTGGCCTCTCAACTCTTCTGATATCTTGATTTTTGATAGATCTACACTCTGATACAGATTTAATGAACAGAACATTTAAAACTTCATTCATGCCCATAATTAAATTGATAAAACAATAGGGCCAAATGCGTGCCTCTTCACAATTGATGGTTATCATTACTACTGCTGTTAGTGTGTTGCCTGCTACTGTACCACACTTACTAAAATTTTAAGAGGTGCCAGGAAACAAACTAAGCCCCTCCCACACTTAATTTGAGATAATTATCATAAAATCTGTGAATCACTACTCTCATTTTACACATGAAGGAAGTGAGACTTAACGAGATTGACTGAATGGCTATAAAATTATGTTTCCAAAAGAATGCCTCAGAACACAATTGTTCAGCATTTCATAAGGTTTTAAAAACTCAGCTGAAAAAGAAAGCCAAAGAATAAAATATTTTTAATAACTGAACTAAACATCAAACTGCATTGACTTATATCAATGATCCACATCAATTTTGCCAAAGTATAGTTCAGTAAATAACTGTCTTCACTCAGTTTTTCTCCAATTTCTTCTCCTTCCTCCTCCTCTCTCTCTCTCTTCCTCCCCCTCTCCCTCCCTTTCTTCCTTCTTCCTTTTCTTCTTCTCTTTTCTTGAATTTCTCACCACTACCAATCTCACCATAATTTTCTATAATTTTGGCTAATGCTTGGAACATGTCCATCAGGCCTACCAACTATGACTCCTTTGAAGCATAACCATCAATTGTGAAGAGGCATGTATTTGGCCCTATTGTTTTATAAATTTTATTATAGACACGAATGAAGTCTTCAATGTTCTGTTCACTAAATTCTCCTAATATTACTTATTCCTCTGTTTGAAGATCATGATCTTTGATAGTGAACTAAATACAAAAGAGAAACTAAGTGATTTTATTTTTCTTACCAGCTCAGGACCCATAATATAAAACTGACAGAAAAAAAAGCTATTATCCTATCAAAAAAAGTAGTTCTTTTAAAGATGTGTTTTCTACAAATGAAGTAAAAATACTTCAGTGTCCTGAGAATGTCTGCATGTCTCCCTTGGAATTGAATCCTCAGCAGTCAGCATTTATTACCTTTTTCTCAATGGCAATGCTACAGTTGTAAATAAAGCAATTCCAAGCCAGAAAGTGGTCAACTAAAGTGAAATGTAATTGAAATTGAAGTCAACTTGTAAAGCAGAAATAAAAATGATGTGGGATTTGGAGCTGATAGAATTATGTAGCAAAAGATGGAGCTGAGCTGACTGGTATTTTGACTCTTGGCCTGGCTCTGCCAATAGCCACAAATGCAGCCTGAATTTTGCTTCTCTGAAAACTGTTATCCCAACTATAAGCAAGGGATTACCGAAGTGTGTAAGGACCCCTCTTTAGCTCCAGAATGGTATCAAAGAAAGAACGAAGGAGGAATAGAAAGATGAAAGAACAGAAAGGGCTTGCATTCTATGAGCATGCATCCTCAGCCTTTAATTATTACATGAAAAGAAAAGATTAATCCTTCCCAAGGATCTCCAAGACATGAAGGAAATTTTCTACATGATGAAGATCAAAAGTTTGGGAAAGAAAACCACATAGGAGCATATTATTATCTGGTCATAGAATGGATAGGATTTCCTTTTTTTGAGATTCACTTCCGAACTATCTGTCAATCTGCAGTTATGACATCTATTTTAAAAATTGTGAGTTGGAATGAGGGAGCAGTCTTTAAATTCTTTTTATACATTCTTTTTATTTTATGTATTTGGTACAGGGTCTCACTATGCTGCTCAGTGACTCCTAGTGATCCTCCTGTTTTCAGCCTTCCCAGCGCTGGGATTACAGGCATGTGCCACCAAACCCAGGCTCAGTTGACAGCTCAGTGCCCAGGGGTGCATTGGCACAGCACGTGGGACCAGGGTTTGATCCCTGTTTAAAAAGAATGTTTGCTGCATTCTTTTTAAAAGCCTTGTTTAAAAAATAAAAAATATACTGTAAAGCAAGATAGTATTAATCTTAACAGCAATCTGAGAAAGGAAATTGTAATTTATTAAGCTCCATAGTAGGCAGTTGATATGATTAATCTCATGTAAATTTCAGAGCAGTTCTTTCTGATGTTAGGAGTAAAGTGATGGCCTTCTGGGTGTGGGGTAATGCTTGTAATCCCAGCTCTCAGGACGCTGAAGCAGGAGAATTTGTGCAAGCTAAAGGCCAGTGGGTACTAAAAGGTGAACCCTGTTTCAAAAAACAACAGAATAGTGGTGGCCAAATCAGACAAGTACAGTAATTCATAGCTGGCTATATCAGAAAATAAGAAATGGTTATATAACCTCAAGACCCATGTTCTTTTTCCAGCCTTTTGCAAAAAATGCTCCTGTTTGAAAATTGTTTGTATAGAATGTTTACATACTACATGCTAATGAATTAATACTTCTGTTTGGTTTGGTCCCCTTATGTCTGTTATGTGTCTCTGTAATTTAAAGTAATGTTTACCTCTGCTTCTCCTCTTATATAAGGTTACTTTAGGTCAGTCCAGCACTTTGTTGGGTACTTAGTAGTTGCCATGGATAAACACCAGGAACACAAAGATAAATAATGCAGAGGCTTTGTCGTCAAGGAGAGTTAAGATTTAGGCAGATAATAAGTGTAAAACCATTTTATAAATAAAAATGTATTTTGCACATTGTATAAATGCAAGGCTCATTATCACTATGGTTAATAATGGTAGCAATTGTTATTGTTTTAAGCTATAGGACATAGATTAGCTGTAATGTCTACTTTTCTTGAAAATACCTCCACTAGAAATATACTTGTTCAATGAGGGCCATCAGTAGTAATTTGTGTTTCTGTCAAATAACCTAATGGTGCTTAGGCTGTTAATGCTAAAGATAATTCCTTGCTGTTGATTGAAAAGTCATTAGGTTGGTGGTCTGTAGTGTGCAAAAGGCTAATTAACCATCTTGAATTTACCCTACTTATCTTTAAAAATAGCATGAAGGACCCAAGTCCTAGCAAAGGCAGAGAGAAATCTTTTCTCCCTTACAGAAATCTATAAGCAAATTTACTGTCTTCACCAATCCCTGCTCATTCTCTGAAATTCACTGTACTGTAAAGAACTGATTATTCCACATTCTATAACCTATTTCATTTGTATAATTAAGAAAAAATACATGCTTAAAAGTAACGTGTGTGTGTGTGTGTGTGTGTGTGTGTGTGTGTGTGTGTGCATTATGGGGACTGGACTCAGGATCTAGCCCTTTACACTTTATTTTGAGAAAACAACTCATTAAGTTTCTAAATTGCCGAGGCTGGGCTTGAACATATAATTTTTCTGCTTTCAGCCTCGCAGAGTACTAGTTTCATAAGCTTATTTCACCACTGACTTAATTTGTCTTATTGCTTCTTTCTTTAAAAACAATCATATTTGAAGCAGATAGCTTTAATAAACTCATTTGTAGGCTTCAGAAATATGTTTTACATTGATACTTTCAGCCAAAAACACATATCCAATAGAATATGAAAGAATCCAGGAAACTCCTTTTGCAACTACAAATTAAATCGTGTCTCTCTTTCTCTTCTAGGACAATCCATTCTTTGACCTGCACTTCAAGAAAGTGTACAGTTTAGAAGCATACAGTTGTGCTTCCAAATATGCCTTTGCTCGAACTGTCAATAAACTCAATCATGCATATCTTAAGAAAGACTTACAGATTGTAAACTTTGATTCTACTTACATTAATGATGACTCTATTTGGTCCTCCAATAACAAGGACTGTTTGGTCCTCATGAGAATATGCTTTTATGCTTTCAATCTTGTGTGTTTGTCCCTATGTCCCCTGCCACTTTGAAGATGTATTCCATATTCCTTCATCTATATCCTAAAAACATAATTCCCCAAGTAAATACCAATGATCAAAATGTTTTCTCTTCATCTGTGGCAATTATTTTATGAAAATAAAGTGATACTTCGTGGATTGCAGTAATATGTTTTAATGTTCTCATTCAGCATTTAGAACTTTTTGATCAATGTGTTTCGTGGTAACTTTAGGATTTGCATAATTTTCACCAAATTAACATTCTGCTAAAGAGTATCAAGAAGTACCTTATGAGATGTAAATATATGTAAAGATATCCTGTGTTCATAGGCAAGAAGACAATATTTTCAAGTTATCAGTACTACCCAAGTCAGTCTGAAGGTTCAATGCATTAACTAACAAAATTGCCCTGCCTTTATGGTGGAATGAAGAAATAAAGCCTCAAAATTAATATGGAATTCCAAGGGACTCCAAATAATGAAAGAATCTTGAAAAAGTAGTACATAGAAAAAGTTATTGTAATTAAAACACTGTGGTACCGACATAAGAATAGACATAGAGATCTAAAATATAAATAATTTAAAAAGCAAAAGAAAAGATGGACAATAGGAAGTAGGGAGATAGGTTTTTGGTAAGTGAGAAGGGGATCTTGAGATGGAGGGAAGAGAAGGGAAGACAGGAGAAGGATAATAAATAGAATTAAGATCTGTGTGTGTACCCACCTCCCACAGTAAATAAGATCATATGTACTACAAACATAAATACTTTATATATGTATAAATGAATCCATACCTTCCTGATTAATTGATTTTTGACAAGAAAGCCAAGTCCATTCAAAAAAGAACAATATCTTTCACAGCTCATGCTGAGATACAGGGTAACCACAAAGAATGAAGTTAGATTCCTACTTTGCACCATATAGAAACATTAACTCAAAGTGGACCAACAACCTAAATATAAGAACTAAGAGCATAAAATTCTTAGAATAAAATATAAAGGTTAATCTTAAGGACTTTGTATGTGATAGTGAATTCTTGTAAAATCAAAGATTTCTTTTGAAAAACAAAAGTAGATAAGTTGGACTTCATCAAAAGAAAAAAATCTTTTTGCATCAAATGACATTTTCAAGAAAGTAAAAAAATACAGAATGAGAAAACATAGCTATAGTTCATCCATTTTAAAAGGGTGCAATAAATCTGTGAAAAGAAAAAAAAAGAAAAGGGTTTAATATCCAGAATACATATCCAATAACTCAGTAACAAAAAGACAACTCAATATTAAAATGGTAAATGTCCTGACTAGATATTTCAAGAGACTCCAAATAGAAAAAGAATCTTGAAAAAGCAGTACATAGAAAAAGCTATTGCAATAAAAACACTGTGGCTCTGACATAAGAATAAACATAGAGATGTAAAGAATATTTTTAAATGGCCAGAAGCCCCAGAAAATGTAGTCATCATCATTAGTCATCAAAGAAATGCAAAGCAAAACCATAAGTGCAAAGTGATACACCACTCCACATCTACTAGGATGACTACTTTTTTATAAAAACAAGAAATGGAAAATAACAAGCATTAATAAGGCTACAGAAAAAGGGGATGTCTCTTAAGTAGCTGATGGAAATATAAAGCGGTACAGTCTCTGAGTAAAACAGTTCAGCAGTGTTCCTGGTCAACCAGTTCCTGGCCCCAGGCAGGGGAAGACCCAGGAAAAGAGCAGACAGGTACAGAGTTGCACAGAACACAATTCATTGGAGACTTAGTAAGTATAGTTCTGGGTGTCACTAAAAGTCAGATCTCCATGATTTGGGTTAAAAGGAAGACAAAATATAATGGTCAAAACAAAAATGACTTTATACAAGGCAAAAATATAGTTGGTTTACCTGAAGTTAATGTCAAAGTCTTCTGGCACATTCTTGGTGCCAATAGCACAAGGGTCCAGTCAGGGTCCAGCCATAAAGCTCCACATCCACTCTAGTTGTGTGTGTATTTACAGTGTGGTAGAAAACTACGCAGGGAAAACCATCAAGGTTACTCACTAGTAGTCATGCTCAAGGCAGCTGCAGTCAGGACAAGATGAACCCATATAAGCTTATATGGTAGTATTAGAAAACAACCAAAATAGTAAAATAAGTATCTATCAGTCCATACTGATAGAAATGAGTAAATGAATAAAGAGGCAACACTTTTTCTTAGAGCAAAATTCCAAATAACAAAAGAGAGAAATTAATAATTGTAGACAAAATGAGGAAGATAGAAAATCACCAGATACCACAGCAATTGCTGTGGCAACAAATGAATGCTAAAATTAGTGGGTGAAAGGACAAGGAAGAACAAACTATGCTCATGATCTCACAGTATCTCCCCTGGCATGTTTGTTGACTAAAAAGGAAAAAAGCCAGGAAGTTCGCAGTGGCAGGTACCTGGTAGACATCCCCTTAGCCAGGGGATCAAGACTCGCATCATGAGTGATATAGCGTATCAGTGACATGTGCCACCTACTGCCATGCCCAGCACTTCTGCAATACTTCCTCAAGTCCATAACCGGGTTCTACCAGGAAAAACCATCAGACAAATTCAAACTGAGAGACATTCTACAAGGCATCTCTTATGGATTATATCTAGATGCTCCCTCCAATCTCATAGGTGGGGCTATTCAGACACAGCTGGATCTAGAGTGTGTGATGCTTAGATTATATGTGTGATGCTGGGATCAAGACTGTGTGATTACTAAAGTGGTCCATTGGTTGATTTGGTATAGATCTGAGTAGGATTAAGAGTGTCCCACCCTGGTGTGAGTGCTACCTGGAGGGCAGGAAGATAGATGTAATCCCAGCTCTTGGGAGGCTGTAAACAGGAGGTTCACTACAAGTCTGATCTAGTAGTGAGACCCTGAACACCCTGTAGAACCTTCCCTAAAATACAATAAATAAATAAATAGATAAATACAGTCTCACTTCTGAATTATACACAGGAGGTTCTCATTGTACATGCATTTATTTTTCACAAGTAATCTTTACAGAGGAATTCTGATTTTTGACATACTTATCGGAAACCTAATCACATTAGCATTAATACCATTTATATTTTTTCTCCCCTCTGTCTTGTGTAGTCTTGTTTCTTCTACTCTTTTTGGTTTATTTGTTTTTTATGTATTTAGTACAGGGTCTCACTACACAGATTGGACTCGTAGAGATCCTTCTGTTTTCAACCACCACGCTCAGTCTCAACTGCTGTCTCAGCGCACCCCAGGGGCAAGGCCAGCACCGCACGCAGGGGATTGAACCCCTCCCCACTCTTTTTAAGTTTCATCCCACAAACCAAAATCTTTTCTTTCCTTATAATTTTCTCTTTCACTTTTATTTTACTTTAGCCGTGACAAGGAGTTTGAAACTCCTAGGACCTAGAAGGCAGGAATGGATGTCAGCCATATAGCACTCAGGTCGGACTCCACATCAGTGAACCGTGTGCAAAGGAGAACCATTCCAATAGGAGCCATGAGTTAACCCAGATGAGAGCTCACAAGTGAGCTCAGGCCACCTGGCTGAGCTCTGGGACACGGGGCACGTGCTAACTCCTTCATAACCTTCATCGGCCCTCAGGAGAAGACTTATGAACAGTCTCCTCATCATATTCTCTAGAAATTGTCTACTTCCTCTCTTGGCAATATTCGAAGCCTCTGTTTGTAACAGCTGGCTAATTTCACAAGAATTCTGTGTAATCAATGGCTATAAATCCACGTAGTTTAAAATAAGAATTTTTAAAAAATAAAATAAAAATAAAAATACAATAAAATAAACATTTAGCTCTTGCCCATACTCTGTTGACTGAAATATGAGTGATTTATACTGGTCAGAGCTAGGATGGGCTCCATGCTTCACATTAGGTTCAAGTATGCTCCATATCTCTTTCTCTTTGGACCAACAATTATCCAAGTGTACAAGTCCACTTCAAACTCCTGCACTTACCATGTCCACTAGTCAACTGGTCAAAGTAAGTCCCCAGGCCAATGCCAGACTCCAAGGCAGAGAAGTATGTTCCATCCACAAGGAAAGTAAAGTCCATATCAAGGATGTGACTGTATCCCAGAATTACAGGGGATTAGCAGAGACCCAGAGCTTAATCCAACAGACCTCTCATCTTGCCTCTTTTGCTCAATTCTTACTTTCAGAAGGCTGAGCTCTATCTGACTTTCTTAACTAGATGAAGAGTAGGAAGATGGGTGGTCATGCAGAACATAGCCTGCTTGCCTGGGCTCTCCCTGGAGTGGAGCTATTCAAGTTGAACGATAACATTTTATTTAAATTTTTTATTTTAATAAATTAGGAAAGTATGTTACATTTAAATTCACACTGAAATATTGCGCAAGTAAGGAAGTGGTATTTCCAGAGTTCCTCTCAGGGTCCAGCAATCAGCAGTTTTCATCCCAGACCCCTGAGGGGATGATGAAAGCTCGTTCACTTTCGGCACATAGCCCGTGCCTTCACCCTGCAGGAGTTTGCTGTGCTTTGCTTGAATTGTCTGAAGTTTTATTTGGAGGCCTTATTTTTTTTTTTAATGACAAGGACACTTGAATTTTAACACTATATTTTCAATTATATTTGTCATGTTTCCCACTGACAATGTATTTTTTTTTTAATTCTAAAGCAAACAGCAAATAAGTCTATGGTCCTGCAAATTCACTGACTATATTTTTATTTGTTTGTTTATTTTTAATGTATTTAGTACAGGGTCTGCAGCATCTTACTACACAGATCAGACTCAGTGATTCTCCTGTTTTCAGCCTCCCAAGCACTGGGATTACAGGCTCGTGCCACCTGGCGCAGTCTCAATTGCTTTCTCAGTGTGTCCCAGGGGCGGGGCTGGTACAGTGTGCCATGGACTGAACCCTGGTCCATGCCACATATATATTTTTATATCTCAGATATAAAATAGATTTTATATACAATTGAAGTTTATTAGAGAACTACCAGATTTTATACATGATTCTAAGGCCCTGAACTCCTCAGCTTCCCAAAAGCTGGGATCACACCTGGCTTCTCAGGTCTTGAGTAAGTA